AACTTAAAAGGTGAAACTAATATATGAGATACACTCATTACATGCAAAGCAAGATAGTTCAAGCCGTGATTTGTCATAATTGTGGTGATTATGGTTTACAGCTCATGAAAACCCCAAATCCACAATGTCAGAAAATTAGAATATTGTGAAAAGGTGCAATATTCTCGGCTCAAAGTGTCCCACTCTAATCAGCTAATTAAGCCATAACACCTGCAAAGGGTTCCTGAGCCTTTAAATGGTCTCTCAGTCTGGTTCAGTAGGAATCATAATCATGGGAAAGACTGCTGACCTGACAGTTGTGCAGAAAACCATCATTGACACCCTCCATAAGGAGGGAAAGCCTCTAAAAGATAATTGCAAAACAAGTTGGATGTTCCCAAAGTGCTGCAATCAAAGCACATTAATAGAAAGTTATGTGGAAGGGAAAAGTGTGGAAGAAAAAGGTGCGCAAGCAGCACGGATGACCGCAGCCTGGAGAGGATTGTCAGGAAAAGGCCATTCAAAAGTGTTGGGGACTTTCACAAGGAGTGACTGAGGCTGGAGTCAGTGCATCAAGAGCCACATGGGCTTCAGATGTCGTATTCCTTTTGTCAAGCCTCTCCTGAACAACAAACAACGTCAGAAGCGTCTTACCTGGGCTAAAGAAAAACAGACCTGGTCTGTTGCTCAGTGGTCCAAAGTCCTCTTTTCTGATGAGAGCAACTTTTGCATCTCATTTGGAAACCAAGGACCTAGAGTATGGAGGAAGATTGGAGTGGCACACACTGCAAGATGCTTGAAGTCCAGTGTGAAGTTTCCACAGTCTGTGTTGATTTGGGGAGCCATGTCATCTGCTGGTGTTGGTCCACTGTGCTTCATTAAGTCCAGGGTCAACGCAGCCATCTACCAGGAGATTTTGGAGCACTTCATGCCCCCTTCCGCAGACGAGCTTTATGGGGATGCTGACTTCATTTTCCAGCAGGACTTGGCACCTGCCCACACTGCCAAAAGCACCAAAACGTGGTTCAATGACCGTGGGATTACTGTGCTTGATTGGCCAGCAAACTCGCCTGACCTGAACCCCATAGAGAATCTATGGGGCATTACCAAGAGAAAGATGAGAGACATGAGACCGAACAATGCAGAAGAGCTGAAGGGCGCTATTGAAGCATCCTGGTCTTTCCATAACACCTCAGCAGTGCCACAGACTGATAGCTTCCATGCCACGCTGCATTGAGGCAGTAATTGCTGCAAAAGGGGCCCAAACCAAGTACTGAGTACATATGCATGCTTATACTTTTCAGAGGTTCGATATTGTTCTATGTACAATCCTTGTTTTATTGATTGCATGTAATATTCTAATTTTCTGAGATTGTGGATTTGGACTTTTCATGACTGTAAGCCATAATCGTCACAATTATGACAAATCACGGCCTGAACTATCTTGCTTTGCATGTAATGAGTCTATCTCATATATTAGTTTCACTTTTTAAGTTGTATTGCTGAAATAAATGAACTTTTGCATGATATTCTAATTTTTTGAGTTTCACCTGTATTGTTACTAATGTATAGTACAAAATAATATGTTTTTACATAATTGCTTTGTTTAGTGGGTGGCATTAGCAGCTCTCTGAATGATTTTCCCTTGTAGTTTGGAATTTTTTTTTTTAATTATTTATATAGCACCGTTATTTTGTATGGCACTTTATAGAGCAAGTGCTACATACAGGAGTGTGTGGTACAGTTTATGTGAATTCTCAAACTGCTCCTGATGATAAATATTTGAAGTTTCAGCACAAATTATATTTATTATAATCATACAGAAACTGTATAGGGAGAGGCCTTCTAAGTTTGTTTTGCAGGGCTCAATTAAACTAACAACCAGAGTGACTCATCCCTGCTCTGTAAATAAAGAAGCAGGGATCTGTTACAAAAAAAAAAGAAAAGAAAATGACTCGGGGGTTCCCTCACATCCATACAGGACGTTCACCATCTAGTATAAATTTTAAGGGAGACCAAACACCAAAAAAACTATTTAAAAAGTCCCCTTCCGAATTCTATATCAGACCCCAACCTTGTAAAACAACCCATTCAGTTTAAAGCATAATGGAAGGGCAAAACATTTGTGTATACATGTAAAAAAAAAAAAAAACCATTATAAACACATATTTTCCCCCTTTTTATATAAGTGATCACTTACCCTCTGGTCTCAAGTGTGTAAGGATCTGGGGGAGGGGAAAGAGCAGTACACTGATCTTCCAGTAAATGGCTGTGCAGGAGGGGGGTGTGTGAGCACAAGTCTGATCACACTGTTCAACAAATTTTTTTATTTTTTGCCAGTTTTGGAAACAAAACGGAACCATTCTTAATGAATTTCACATTCTGAAGTTCAAATATAACAATGAAATTTGTCAATTGGCTCTAGTTTTTCTGTAAACGGAAAGTTTTTTCTACTATAGGCGTAATGACTACATAATGGCACATAATTATATAGATAGATGTCTTTCCACAAATATAAAGCAAGTGATATTGACTACATACAAAAGCCTAAATAGGCATAATATATTGCATAGGATTACCAAGAAAAAATTATAGCCATAAGCTAAGTTGAATCATTTTAATACTTAGGATTCTCACTAGTTTTGTCCTTCAGTTTGTGTCGGGTTTTGCTTCTCTTGGGCCTTCTCTCTTGTATTCGAGAAAGGGCTATCTCTTACAACTGCACGTGACCACACGCTTCAGGTTCTTCCTCACTTGACTCAACCACGAAGGATTCTGGTGCTTTAGGAATTGGTAGCCCTTCTCCATGAGGAACTGGAGTATTGCGATGGAAATATTTGGATAGTGCACAGATAACTTTTTCTTACTTATTTAGCCCTGATGTTTTACAATTGGAGGCACCATACAAAAGTAACAATTACTAACATATCTGTTGGCTCTCTCCAAATCATTGGCAACAGCGAAAGGCATAGATGCCTTTTTTCCATTCAACCATTGCTCCAGTGCCGTCGACACAAGAATTGCAGCATATATGTGGTTGCCCAGCTCTTGTTCCTGGTCCCTCCTATCTTGCAGCCAAAATACAAGTTGTAGGCTTTCTTAACATTCCTGTTATCCTCCTTTTTTTGTGAGATAAAAGTTATTTCACCGCAGATATAGCAGAAAATTATCTGCTTTATTCACACAATCGTTCGAGGCATATACTGAGTAGCCTATATAAGCATAAACGAAATGTAAAAGACGCTGTCCAACTACAATCAGCTACAGATACTGCAGCTTTTAAGCAGTGAAGTGATGCAATTAAAGGCTAATATTGCATCATCTCAGTATACATGCATTTTTCTATTGGTCACCAGTATCAATTGCGCAATATGCAGCTGAAGTTGCATCAATAATTTTGAATGGCTTACGTCATTAGATGGTGAATATATCATGAAACTAGAGCCAATCAAACATTTTTTAGGGTCATTTTCGTTTTTCAGCACCCCAAAATTATGTAAGATTAGCTAATGTTTATGCCCAAAACTTTTTACCTGTTGAACAGTGTCATTAGAGGAGAGCAGGCTGAGTTCCCAGCACAGGCAGAACGCTGACAACGCTGTGTCCTCATGCTATTGAGGTCAGTTTTTTAAAGGAAGTAGAGGGATTGGCAGGAATACATGAGATTTTACACAAAGGAAGAAATACATAGAGAACACGATACTTTTTCATACAAGTACATGGTACAGCATGGCACATATAAAGGAATATGACATGTTGGGTTTACCTATTCTTTAATAGTATATGCTGGTGACAAAAAGTTTTTTCTAAACCTTCCATCCATCCTCTGTTAGAACTTTATTTTCTTTGATGTCTGTACCAAATGCACAGAAAGTAAAGACAAATGGTTAGACTAGTACAGATAGATATAAAATTTCTTTAATACAAATGGTAGTGGTGAGCTTGGCTGGGGTTGGATTTTGGCAGTCTAGAGGCGTAGGGAGGAAAACAGGGTGATAATTGAAGGGGGGGAAAGTGTCCAAATACTTTTTTTTTTTTTTATGTTATTGATACAGCTTGCATGTTGAATAAGGAAGGGAGAACACTAGTAGGGAAATGAATACTGTAAATTAAAAAGTTAGGTTATGGGTTAAAGTTAAGATCTCTGGCTTTCTACACTTTCAATCCACTGTTGGTTGTCATTTCAGTAAAACTAATTACACAAAAATGTTTTGGCACATCTTATGACCCTGTAAACTCATTTTAAGGATAATCCTATATCTAATACTTAACCTTAACCTAATCTAATAATTAACTTTAAGGCCACATTCACGCTTCAACGCATCGAATTGCAGGCAGAATTGTGCTATTCTGCCATTGATTTCAAATCACATTAAAATCCCATCAAAACACGCATTTGGGTGCCATTAATTCTAATATGCAACAAAACACAAGAAATATGCCAAAAATCGCTCTATCAAAAAAACACACCAAAGTCAGCTCCAAAAGATGTTACAGGACGTAGTTTGCCATGGTTTTGCAGCAGAGGATGGTCCATTCAATTGAATGGCATTGCTCTAAAAACATATTACAAAAACCGTGCAAGGAGCGTGACACGGGAGCATTGCTAAATGTGAATAGGGTTTTACCCTAAAGGCCCATTTACATGTGTAGTGTAAGCGGAGTAATTATGAGCATCTTATTGCAGTGCACAATAATACAGGCTACATTACAGTGTGCTGCCATTTATTTAGAATGCAGTATAGTACACCACAACACAGTATGCGCTGTGTTTCTGAAAATGCTTCATGTTTTTTTTTGTGTGTTAGGATTTAACCAATTTAAAAATTAATGTGTTGCCTTATTGCAGCATGTCTTAAAAGCACGTTGTGATAATTCAGTGCATGATGCAAATTTGCCCTAGCTGCCTAAATTTGATCCGTAGCCCCATACATAACCATGATCTGTTCTTGCCCCATGAGGCTGAAATTCAGGTCTCCCTCCTGTAATGGGATCTTCTTTAAAAGCTCCTGTTCCTACACCAGAACCAACTGGAGCGGAAAAAAAACAGAAGAAAATGAAAATGAGCAGAATGCTGAAAGCCAGCCAGAAGCCAAGCTGAAGTCAGTATGTTTGGAAGATGTGGCTGATGAGGAACCAGCCAATGAGTATGGTGAGTATATGTTTTTTTTTTTGTTTTTTTTAAATTAATTTCTGTATTTTTCTGTTTTCTATGCAAAATAAACAGACATCTAGCCTCGCAGGCTCAAAAATCAAAACAAGGTACTTACAGTACACTTTCCTCCCACCCCCCCATTCCGGGCAACCCAACCATGTAAGGAACTGCACCCAATCGAATGCTTAGCAACCCCAGAGGGGTGTGAGGAGATAAATGTATAATACAGAGTTCCCCAAAACACATGATAGACATTCAAAAAGCATATACAAATGAATCTGGTCCTATGGCTAGTCTGAGAGCAAATTCAGGGGTCACGACCAGGTCATGAGAGAGTTCACCATGTTAAAAACAGGCACAGAACTACATACAGTAACAAACTAAGTGAAAAAGGCAAAAAGCAGGGAAATGAGACTCTTCCTCTGTGGTGGAAAGACTGTCCAGCCAGGTCTGCCAGATCTTATCGAAATTTCTTGGACATCCCCTGCTCCTGGAAGTAGCTTTGTAAAATGGGATTATTTTATTTACCAGCCCGTTACAGTATGCTAAGGAGGGCATCACTGGCTTTTTCCAGTACAGATCCAGAGCCTTTCGAGCATAAAACAATAATAGACTGAGCAGGGTACATTAAGCCCTAGCAGGTGCCAGGCCCTCCATCAGATCCAGGAGACAAACTGAGAGTCATGGGCAAAGGCAGTGAAGTAACCCCTGTGATTCAGCATAAAATTTGTTCCGAAAAGTCTTGCACCACTGGACAGTACCAAAATACGTACTCTCCAGCGCCTCAGGATATGCACAGCCAAAAGGGAAGACAAGGGTACCAGGACAGAGACAACCAAAGGAAATGTTCCAGGGGTGCAGCCCTCCTCAGACGGGGAAATCAGCCACTGGATAGAGAGAAAACAGGTGGCGCACACACCTAGTGCATTATCCAAGGTTTATTGTAGGAATGAAATAATAAAAACATACTCGCAGACGAAGCATGTATCTAAAAAGCATAGAAAAATGACAATGGCCACAACGGCGGGCAAGGGTGTTCTCACCCTTTCCTCAGAGCTGATGACCAACCTCTGATGCTGATGTATGGTGTATGGACAGAAAGAGCCTCGCAATGATGGCCATTGTCCTTTTTCTATGCTTTTTAGATACATGCTTCGTCTGTGAGTATGTTTTTATTATTTCATTCCTACAATAAACCTTGGATAATGCACTAGGTGTGTGCGCGCCACCTGTTTTCTCTCTATCCAGTACCAAAATACGTGTCTGAATGTATCCAGGGAGTGCGAGCATCACCAATGCTCCACCTGCAGAAACCTGCAGATAAATGCTTGCCAGTCTTGCTGGAGTATAGTATATCCTGTATAGGAGTTTAAAATGAAAATGATGTGTACCTAGCTGACACCAATCAAAAGGGCAACTCTACATGTTGTCCCAATCTTCACCGTTAAGATCAAGAACATCCTATTTCTTCCTACACTTAGACACCGACGGAAGAGGGACAGGGAACAGTTCTTTGTATAATTCAGACAGTTTTTTCATGGAGTCATCAAGTAGTACATTTTCCAAAGCTGAGGGCTGAATCTCCAAACAAGTAGAGCCTTGCCTCTATGCTCTGGGGATCCAAAACTCACTTGGCTACAGCTTTGTTTTTTGTTGTTTTTTTATTCTCAACTTTTTTTTGTGCATCAGCCCCTTTGTTTGCTGCATTGAATGAGAACGGTATCGGTTAATGCGGTTAGTGCTTTAGTTGCTTAAAATGCTCAAATGATAAGACCAAAATGTTGTGTACATGCAATAAAATACAAGCAATTAAAAAAAAATCAATTTATATGGCATATTTGTGATTCACTTTTCTGTTTTGCTTGAACTTCTTTTGATTGTTTTAGTGCTTAGCCTTTTGAATTTTGTTTCATTTTAGCGGGTAACGTTTCCTCTGAAGGTGAAGATCATGATGAAAAAGAAGACACAGAAAAAGAAAACATTGAAAAAGATGATGATGCAGACCCAGAGCTTGTTAACACAGACCCAGCATGGATTGAGTCTCCGAAAACTAATGGCCATTTAGAGAATGGGCCATTCTCTCTGGAACAGCCATTAGATGATGAAGATGAAGAGGATGAAGACTGCCCCAACCCAGAAGACTTTAACTTAGATGAGTCAAATGCAGAAAGTGATTGCACATACAGTAGCTCTTATGAACAGTTTAACAGTGAATTGCCAAATGGACAACATAAGAATACAGAATTACAGTTCTCTGAATTTTCTTCTGCAATGTTTTCTGGACCTTTGGAGTCTGTGGAATCTGGGTTGGCAGCTTCTGAGGATTCTACATTAATAGAGAGAGATGAAAATAGCTCTTGCCAAGATAGGAGCAGAACGGTTTCTGCATCAAGTACTGGAGATATGCCAAAAAGTAAGTATTATCTCATATGCATTCTCCATCCTATTTTGATTTCCTCATTCTCTGTTAGCAGTGCTGCAAGTTTCCATGGTACAACAAATAAGTCTACCAACCCTCTTCTGTAACAGGGCAACAGATATGTATCAAACAATTTCTGGAACTTTTCAAAACCTGTCATATGAGGAAGTTACTTGTGAAGTGCACTTGATATACTTTGAGATTACAACATGTATTAAAGCGGTAGTAACATCCTTTTACTGATTTATACCTACAGGTAAGCCTATAATAAGGCTTACCTGTAGGTACAGTAAATATCTCATAAATGTGCACTGTTTAGGAGATATTTACCTTACTGGTGCTGGTGACATAATCGGCGCATGCGCACTGTGCTCTCAATGGACTCTATACCGTCCATTGAGAGAGCTATGCTGCGGCCATGACTCCTGTGTACATGTGCGGGAGTGACATCATCATAGCTTGGCCATTCAAACAGTCAAAGCCTGTGAACCCGGAAAGGAAGACCGGGTGAAGACGGAAGAAGATGGTGATAGCGTGCTGCTGGAGTGCTTCAAGTACTTTGTGGTGCTGCTCCAGGCTGAGCTATAGAGCCCCGTTGGCACGCAGGATAATAGCGATGCCAGTCTAAGAAAAACTCATCCAGTGAGCAATGAACGTTTTAGCTTGAAACCACCGTTCGCCTAAGCTCCTATTATGAATGTGTAGCTATGAAAGCCTCAGTGTCGCTTCTCGGGGCATGCCCCCTAACATGTTTCAGCCCACCCACTGCGGCTTAATCATATGGGTCATAGGGCTGGAGGGCTTCGTTTTAATGTAAGTATGCGATGCATACTAGCACATTATGCTCTTAAAGTATTACTAAAGGCAAAACCTTTTTTTTTTTTTTTTTTTTTTTTTTTTTTTTTTAGTTTTGAATTGAGTGGAGAGGAATTAGAACACTTGTCACTGTTAGGGAGATTAACCCTTTCTATTCTGTTTCTAAGTCCTATATTTTGGATTATATATGTGAAAGTGTTTAACAAAATAAAATTTAACAACAACCGTGAAGTCCATCAATTAGTCCATCAACTATTACCCCTAACTACCCTAAAATATCACAGTGAAAAATAGTTCAAACTGTTCAAAATTATTCCAAAGATCTCCCAGATGCATATACCTAAAAAAAAAAAGAAAATATCACATAGTGCATTATCCTTCATACAACATAAATTCAATTCATCCCACGCAATTAATGCAGTGAATAATTGTGAAAAAAATAGTGAAAAAGCATGAAAAACCGTGAAATAATCAGTGAAAACACTGTGTGTGTGAATCACCCTTCAGTGCCACAAAAAATTGCAAACTGCTGTGCACTTCTACTTAAAGTAAGGGTACCCTTACCAACACTCCAAATAACGCATGCTTATAATGATCCAACAGCTTTCCCAGGAATAAGTAATCTCCACAATCCTCCCTGGATTCCTTAATCACAATAATCCCAATGTCTCCAGGCGCTGGTATAATGTAGTAAAGGATCCTTTAGAAGCGTCTTGTTCTCTTGACCAGCAGTTCCTATAAGTGACTGGACCCCGCCTCACCTTCTATGTATTTTAACTCCATTCACTGACATGTGGTCACTTTCCATTGGTTGAAAAGTTGTGATCTACTTCACAAAAAGTATCTTCACAGTCTACCTAGCTTCAGCTTCTCTTTGTTTCAGCTCTCCACAGGGAAGTGCACACCAGTTTGCAATTTTTTGTGGCACTGAAGGGTGATTCACACACAGTGTTTTTCACTGATTATTTCACGGTTTTTCACGCTTTGTGGGATGAATTGAATTTATGTTGTATGAAGGATAATGCACTAAGTGATATTTTCTTTTTTTTTTGAGCTATATGCATCTGGGAGATCGTTGGAAGAATTTTGAACAGTTTGAACAATTTTTCACTGTGATATTTTAGGGTAGTTAGGGGTAATAGTTGATGGACTAATTGATGGACTTCACGGTTGTTGTTTAAATTTTATTTTGTTAAACACTTTCACATATATAATTTGTTACACCTTCAGGGGAGGGTGTTGTTTGTGTTGTGGGGGGTTTTAGTTGTATTTGTTTTGGAGGTGGTTTTTGATTGAAACTATATTTTGGATTGTCCCCAGAAAAGTAATAGAGGGTAACTCTTCTAAAGGGAACACTAGTTCTGGTGGCGTGGGGGTCCCCAAGGAATTCCCTTAATTTGCAGGCATTTCCTCTCCCGTCCTGTTTCGCTTATGGGACAGCAAGTGAACAGAAACCTTATCAATGGGACACAGATGGCTGGAAAAAAAAAAATCTGACCGCAGTTATAACCCCGCCTTACTCCATCCACAGTGGGGAAAAAAAAAGTTTTGCCTATAATTCTACTTTAACTTGCAGGGAGAAGATTTTTTTATTTTTTTAAATTCTACTCTTCTAGTTCCACAGAGTTTTGCAGGTGCGGGACAATTCTTGTGTAAATAATCTCAGTCTAATGCCAGTTTAGTAAAAATTTTAAAATTTAGTTCCAGCTTTGCAGCCAAATTTCAGAAACCTCCACCATGTGTTTGTGTTCCCATTTGCACAAACACCTAAAAATTATTTTTAAAAAAATATTTTTTACCTTTCTAGTTGTTTCTTTGGCATATGAATATACACATGGCTATAGGCAGATTATATTCAGAATAATTTGCAAGGAATAGATTGGTATAAAAGTGCATTAGCATACAATGTACCACGCAAGCCTTGAAATCTGTATCCCTTTGTTAGAACATAGAATGTGCACAATTAGTTTACAACTGATGGTCTTTCAACCCCTATAAAAAGGTAAGCAGCATTTTTCTGAATGGTAACAGGTAACAAATATAAAGTAGATGTTATCCCAATTTGACTGCAAAAGTGGAAATATACTTTAGAGCCACACCAGCACAAAAAATTATTAATTTTTTATGGCTAACATCTGAGACATTTTATTGCTCTGAAATACTGATCAGAAATGGAAAATTCACAATGTGTATGGACCTTCACTATATATCACGTCACTAAATCAGCTGGTTGAAAGAACACTGTAACTTGGAGCATTGGAAAGCCCTTATCTATTCAGACATGATTAATTTTGTTTACCACAAAATAGAAACTCCCTATCCATGTAAAATTGTACAGGAAAATTACCACTTGTCACTGCCAACTGGTCTGAAACACAAAGCAAAACATTTATTAACTAATTCTTAGTAACGTCAGTTCTTCTTGATCCATAAATTATACTGGTGAAAATTCTTCTGTCTTCCTAATACACAGAATGGAACATGGAAGTGAATGTTAGCCTGATTTGCACAGTCATATAAGCTGTTCTGTAAGGCTGTTCATTTCTGTTGGTACTGATTTTCAAATGTCTATTTTTAAAGTGATTTGTAAATGCTCATTTTTTTTTTCTAATGACAAACCGGTTTATACCTACTTGCTCTGTGCAATGGAATTGCACAGAGTGGCCCAGAACCTCCTCTATTCAGGTACCCCATTGTCGCTCCTGGCTCCCCCCTCAGCCAGGTGACCCTAAAGATATCTGTATTCTATGGAAGCATTCATGTGGGCTTGCTCCCAAGCCTTGCTGTCCCCTGCTTCCTCATCCCTGACTTTGATTAACAGAAAAGGAAGACAATGGCTCCCACTGCCTCAGCTGTGTAAAATCTACAGACTCTAAATCTAAAACCGATTGCAATGATTTGCAAATCTCATAAACCTATGTTTTATTCACATAAGAAAACATATCAAATATTTAAACTGAGAAAATGTACCATTTATAAAGCAAAAAAAAAAACAGGTAATTTTGACAAAAAAAACAGGCAATTTTGACTTTTTTTGAGCAACACATCGCAAAAAAAAGTTGGGTAAGGGCAACAAAAACTGAAAAAAAAATGTACTAACAAGGAAGAGCAATAAGGACATTTTTTTCAACCAGCTAGGTTAATTGAAAACAGGCCAGTAAGGCTTCATGTGCACAAGCCTACTCTGATTGCTGGGAAATGCAAATCACTGCAAAAAGTGCAGTACCACGTTTGCTGCGTTTTTATTACGTTTTCCTGCGGTCGGCGGTCAAAACGTTCCTATCCGGAATGCGATTTTTTTCGCTTTCAGGAGAGGGAGGTTTAATCTCACCTAAATGCGACAGCTCTTAAACTCTGCTGAAAGTTTGTGTACATGGACACATAGGCTTTTATAGAGTTGAGTTTAGGAGCGTTGGCATAAAAATGCCCAAACTCCTAAACTTGAGTTTTGAGTTTTGCAGCTGCTTGTGTACATGAAACCTAATATGATTGGTTATAAACAGAGCATCTTAGAGATCTCTGTCAGTGTGTCAGAATGAAAGATAGGCCACCAATCTGTGAAAAGCTGCCTCTAAAAACTGACAAACAATTTCAGAATAATGTTCCTCAACGTAAAATTACAATTTTCAATATACAGGGCCTTGAAAAAGTATTCATACCCCTTGAAATTTTCCACATTTTGTGATGTTATAACCAAAAACGTAAATGTATCTTATTGGGATTTTATGTGATAGACCAACACAAAGTGGCAGATAATTGTGAAGTGGAAGGAAAATTATAAATGTTTTTCAAACTTTTTTACAGATTGTGGGAACTTGCTTCAAATGGTAGAGCTTTGTTAAACGCACACAGCAACTCGCTTTCTTTTTTAAGGCCTTTTTAGGCTTCCCACACAGGGGTATCCACCATCAAACACATGCAAATGAAAATTCAGCCTCCTGGCTTGTACACAGTTTTATGTCTGTCTCCTACAGACTCTTTCCAAAATATGTCTCTCGCACACAGCTGGCCACTAGCACACAGCTAGTCTGGCTTCCACCTCTCCTTGGTGAAACCCTCCTGACTCCAAGGCAGAGACCTCCTGTCTGCCGGGGTGGAGCCCTCCTGACTCCTGTCCTGGAGCCCAGAACCCTGGTTAGGCCTCTATGAAAAGGCCTGCACACACCTGACCAATCAGTCT